TGCTAAACAACGATGTCACCCTGCATGAAAACCAAAATTGCTAGGATAACCGCAAAACCGAAACCAAAATTAAAATCAACCAAGATAAAAATCACATCTACAACATTCAAAATATAAAAAAACTCAAAATTTAATCATAAACATCACAAAACCACAATTGCAACTAAATTAAGACGTTTCTTCCGTTTCTTTCTAATGATCGGGAATCCCTTGGAGGAGGTAACCTACGGTTGCTTACGAGGCTTCCCACAGTCCAAATGAAAGTATGAAACTCATTAAGTTAAGTTTAGTAAATTTGTTTGAACTAAGTGAATCCAATAGAAAATAGTGGTACCAGAACGAGTGAACCGTGAGATCCTAACCTGTGTTGCTCTAATCAACTTTAACATGCCCCCATAATTTTTTTAAAGAACTACAACTATATGGTCATCTAATTTCACATCATAACTTGACACACTAGAAAACTTAAACTCGCCATTACGAGGAGCTTGGAGCTAGCATGGTGGGCAGCACGGTCATCTTCAACAGCAAAACCTGTCTTCCCTAGTTAAACCAATTCCTTCCTTAAAATTAAGCAACCAAGTCATAGGATTTCGAGGTTGTCTGCTTATGCAACATAAATCCTCACCTTATCTTTAGGCCTTTGTACAACTCTGTTGTACCATCTAAGCCCTAACTCGTGTTAGGATTTCGAGGTTGTGGTTCGTCACGATCTAAATCCTCACATCTTCCAGGCTATTTGTGTGATCGTTTCGCAAAAATGTAAGCCATAAACAATAAAATTGGCATGATGAAACACTCAAATAAATTTCTCCTCAAAATTAAAGCCAAACAATAAGATAGACTGAGAAGTCACTGAGGTTCTCCTCTGAATCTATGACATCACCTAGTTCTTCCTCCTTTAGATTCTACAATAAATGTTCTAAATTTGAGACAATCCCTTTCACACCTCTTTGACCGATCTCGTTGAAAAGTCCTATCCTTTTGATCTCCTTGAAAATAATATTTCCTGATTTTTATCTAGAATTTTTTTAGGAGACTTCGGTTATCTAAGATGTAATTAACTATAGGGGCTTGCCCTTATAGGAAGCTAATTCGAACCCAGCTTAATATAAACTCTATTTAATTCTTCATATTAAATAGGGAATATTATCGGCAAATGAAACAATTTCGCAGACCAAACAAATGTCATTTGAATTAAATTGTATGAATTATGAAGTGATAGAGCCTTGAGAGCAAAAGTGTAATTTTAAAAATTTAGCCTTAATTAACATTTAGGCTTAATTCAAGAAAGGGAAATGGGCAACATTTGATCTAAATTAACATGTTTGGATAATTGAAACACAAGGGATTAATTTTGTATAAACCAATCTCACTTTTTCCAATTAAAGGATATATTTGAAATTTCCTAGGTTATCAAAATTTGGAAGCCTACCAAATTGAATGATTCTAGACTTAGGGGTATAGTTTTGGGTGTTAATAACTCACTAATTTAATACCCCTATCTGGTGTTCAAGTGACATTCAAATGTTTTGATGATGGATTATTATCACTTAAAATTTAATCTCTTCAAAAATGACTAAGACATCCACCAGGATCTTAAGGGCTTAGTAGAGACCTAAGCTAAATCAAATTTGATTAAATGAAGATTAAAAAAGTGAATGTAACTAGAAATTGAACACCTTTGAATCACTACAAGCACAAGTTAAAACCAAAATTGGCTAAGTGTCTCAATAACACTAACTTGCCCCTTTAAGGTCTTCACTTGCATAATTCTTGAATTGAATGATAAACGATAATCACCCTACTCTTATGGATAATTGAAACATCATTGTTCGTTGAACACTTGAAATATTTACAGGATGGATTATTAAGCAGCATAATAAGGTTAAATGAGCTCAAGAGTTTTCACTAGGCGATGAGGGGAAAGCATGGACCTGTCTTTTTCTCCTGACCTGTTGGATACCTCGGAGGTCTACTAAACTTGATATGTTTCGCCTAATGAAATCACCCTTAGTCAAATTAATAGGTGCTCACCAAGATATGATTTAGGATTTTGGTAGATCACCAGAACCTCATTTTTTCACTTTACATAAATTGCCCTTACATGCATTTTGAGTTTCAGGTGGTGGAACGAGAAGACTCGCCAGGTATGCTTTTATAGTTTATAGTACCGTCTTTTTCTGTACTTTCCGTTCTGGACTTTTATGCTTACAAAAGTTGCATGCTAAACAATGATGTCACCCTGCATGAAAACCAAAACTGCTAGGATAACCGTAAAACCAAAACCAAAATTTAAATCAACCAAGATAAAAATCACCTCCACAACATTCAAAATATAAAACAACTCAAAATTTAATCACAAACATCACAAAACTAAAATTTCAACTAAATTAAGACATCTCTATCAGATGATCGGGAATCTCTCGGATGAGGTAACCTACGGTTGCTAACGAGGCTTCCCACGGTCCAAATAAAAGTATGGAATTCATTAGGTTAAGTTTAGTAAATTCATTCGGACTAAGTGAATCCAATAGAAAATAGTGTTACCGGATCGAGTGAACCGTGAGATTCTAACCGGTGTCGCTCTAATTCACTTTAACATGCCCCCATAAATTTTTAAAGAACTACAACCATAGGGCCATTTGATTTCACATCATAACTTGACACACTAGTAAACTTAAACTCGCTATGACGAGGAGCTTGGAGCTAGCATGGTGGGCAGCAAGATCATCTTCAACAGCAAAACTTGTCTTCCCCAGTTAAACCAATTCCTTCCTTAGAGTTAAGCAACCAAGCCATATGATTTCGAGGTTGTCTGCTTATGCAACATAAATCCTCACCTTATCTTTAGGCTTTTGTACAACTCTATTGTATAATCTCTGCTATACAATATAATCCCTAACTTGCCTTAGGATTCTAATGTTGTCGTCCGTCACGACCTAAATTCTCACATCTTCCACGCTATTTGTGTGATCGTTTCGCACAAATGTAAGCCATAAACTAATAAAATTGGCAGGATAAAACACTCAAATAAATTTCTCCTCAAAACTGAAGCCAAACAATAGGATAGACTGGGAAGTCACCGAGATTCTCCTCCGGATCTATGACATCCCTTAGTTCTTCCTCCTTTGGTTCTACAATAAATGTTCCAAATTTGAGTCAATCTCTTTCACACATTTTTGTCTGATCTCGTTGAAAAGTCTTATCCTTTTGCCCTCCTTGAAGATAATATTTCCTGATTTTTATCGAGAGTTTTCTTAGGTGACTTCGATTATCTAAGATGTAATTAACTATAGCGGCTTGCCCTTATAGGAAGCTTGTTCAAACTCAACTTAATATAAACCCTATTTAATTCTTCATATTAAATAGGGGAAATTGTTGACAAATAAAACAGTTTCACAGACCAAACGGATGTCATATATTTCTTAGTTTATTTGATTGAGTCTCATCCTCAAGTCTTGTATTTATCCTTCGGGATAGATACAGGGTTTGAGATACAACATTCTTTCATTTAAACTATAAAAAATATGGGGTCATTTTGATTTCATATTTTTCTAAAACTTATATATATATATATATATGTAAATCAAAACGTCCTTTCGAAGCGGGCGACGAAATTTCGATTCAGGCGACCGACAGCTTCCAACGGCCAACTCCACAACCTAAAATAGTGCTGACAAAGGTTTCAGTCACATTAGAGAACTCATATAACTCAAACACTCAATTACTCAATAAAATTGAAGTGAGCATCCAAAAAATCGGTTTAAATGGAAGCCTACAAATGATTTTGAGTGAACTCCTAAGGGGCGCCTATGAGTGAATCCTTAAAGAACATTTTGATTAAAATGTTATTAAACAAAAATTTTTGTGTTGCCTCTTACTAGAAGCCAATTGGCCTAGTATCCCAACTAACCTCCTTGTATAGCTAAGAATGCTAAAATGTGAAGCATCACTTAAATGAAAACCAAAGATAAAAGCACCAAAAATTGAATCATGGTGAAACTAATAAGTATTATAATGTTTTTTTGTGACATCTTCAAAATGGTAAGATTTTTATAAATATTTTTTACATCAAAATTAATTCTTTTTCATTTCACAATCATTTTTTTTTAGAAAGAATGAAATGAAAGAGAAATAAATAGGAGGTGAAATATATCCTTCTCAAGGAATGGGTTAGGAAAAACATGTTGTGACACCCATATATATACATGTATATATATACATATATTTATATATGTATATATGCATGTGTGTGTGCATGTATATATTCATGTGTGTCCTTGCTCTCTCAACTTCTTTGTGACTTATAAAGAAAAAGAAACTAAAATGTGTCAAACTTCTTTTTGTTTCCTATCCATGCCCTATATAATATAACCTCTTCTTGAATTGGCCACATATGTCAATTTGCTCTTTGGCTTCTATATCCAAGTTCAGACGACAATACACTTATTGAGGCCGAACAAAATTTACAAGAAGATGACCAAATTTAAAAGACAAATTCTTGTTTTCTATAGAAAATAATTTCTTAACAAAAAAACTCCTTTTATTAATTTTTAAATTAAGCAACTTTAAAAGAATATATGCATAACATCTTTTATACTATTATTTTTTTTCCATGTTACAAGCAATAGATCTTTGTGGAGTTTGTAGAAAGCTTTAAATCTACATAGCCTACATTTTCGTGCACATCGACACGAACTCATAAGGTGGATTCGGTTTTAAGATTTTAATTCTTTTAATATTAATATTTACATAATCAAGTACTTTTCACTGAAATCTTAAAGTTGCAAGATAAATCATAAACAAACTCAAGGTTAAAACTTAACCATATACAAGGTTAAAAAATGTTCATAAATGCTGGATCATTATCCATCTCTATCTTTATACATATGCATTTTCATAATCTATGCAAAATAACAATATGTTATATGCTAATTTACTTTTATGATATCCCACGAAGCCAATTTATTAGTGATTAATGATTTTATACTTTCTAGATTGTAGGAACTCCAAACTACATGTGTCCTGAGATACTAGCAGATATACCTTATGGCTATAAATCAGATATCTGGTCATTAGGTAACATTTTCACCATTAATTAACTCATTACAAAGTTTTCTTCTTCTTCTTTTCTCTTACACATAACCCCTCTCAATGCTTTTATTTAAAATAAACTTCAGGCTGTTGTATTTTTGAGATTTCAGCACATCAACCAGCATTCAGAGCCCCAGTAAGTATATCTATATACATATATTCACATTCAGATTGTTTGCTAGTGTTGAAGAAGCAGTTTATTTTTTCTCATCTTTGTTGTTAATGAAAATACTCAAACAGGACATGGCAGGACTGATAAACAAAATAAATAGATCAGCTATATCTCCAATGCCAACTAAATACTCTTCTTCACTGTAAGTAGATTCATTCAAACAAAAAATATCAAATACTAGAATAAATTAAAGATTTTTTGCTAATATATTTTTTTCTATGTAATAACAGTAAGAGATTGATCAAGAGCATGTTAAGAAAAAATCCAGAGCATAGACCAACGGTAAGTTCCTAAACAACACTGAGAGGCTGTCTGGCAAAGGATTTAAGGTGGGATTTAGGCAGGATTTAAGTGAAATCTTGTCGTACGATCATTTTGGATAAAATAAATTCTATGATGCTGTAAATTTGTATTCACGGATTTGGGTGTAAATCCTGGATTTGGTGAACTTACAATTGAGTGCTTTGGATTTAAGGTGCAACTCAATAACTGTCGCGGCGCAGCTCAGTAACAGCCGCGGTAACTGTCAAACATTTTCACTGGATTTACAATATTTACTAAATCCATTGCCAGACAGTTCTTGACATTTAACCCATTCAGGATTTAGTAAATCCAAATTTACGAGATGTACTAAATCTTAGTAAAATCTCATCTGTTGCCAGACATCACCTAACATACATCAAGACAAAAAGTTTACTTACACCATACAAATTTCAGGCAATTGAGTTGTTGAGGGATAACCACTTGCAGCCATATCTCGCTAAATCCTGCAATCCTTCTTCATTCTTACTTCCGATAAAGCCAACCATGATAACATCACCAGAGAAGCAAGCAAAAAGGCAAAGTGATGAAAAACCAGTAGCTACAAAATGTACAAGAAAACATGTGTTGGGTACTCAAAGTTTAGAAACACCTGCAATAGATTTTGTTATAAGAACTCAAGAAAACATGCCAAACAATTTTGAAATGGACTCCACCCTTCTAACATCCTTGCAAATTAGCGATGATGTAAAACAAATAAAATCAAATGATGGTCAGCAAGTTATAGATAAAGTTGATTCCAAAGAACAAAATAAGCTCCTAAGAACAAAAACTGAAGCAGATGAGATGGGAGGAGTCACGGAAGAAGCTTCTTCGGCAAGCACGCTAACCATTGTACCAGCAGATAACACACAAGCTGATCAGTGGGAAAGCTTGAATGTGATTCAGCAGCGAGCTGATGCTCTAGAGTCTTTACTTGAGTTGTGTGCTCAGCTTTTGCAGCAAGAGAGGCTAGATGAACTTGCTGGAGTTTTAAGGCCATTTGGAGAGGATGTTGTGTCTTCAAGAGAAACAGCAATCTGGCTCACAAAAAGTCTCATCTCTAATGCTAAAGTTGGCAGGGAGGCTAAAATATAGTAATATGTGGCTTGGAATTGCAATCAATTACTATGAAAAAGATGGACTCTTTTATGAAACTTTCATGTGTGGTTACTTCGTATTAAGTTTTTTTCTCATGACCAAATAATGGATCAAATAGATATTACCACGTTGTAATACTTTTATATAACAATACAAAATTGCAAGTGAATAAGTTCAACATGTAGTATTAACCAACATTAACTTATTGGTGCAAAAACATTTAGCTTCAAGAATAAAGTTGTATATATTACTCAATGCCATTGTTGCAAACAAGCAAATTGTGTTTATTCTCTTTAAATGTTGCAATTTTAGTAAAATTAATACTTATAGTATTTGTCTCTAAACAAGGTCACTATCAAATTCTTCATGCCAAAAGGAAGAAACTCCAAAGAGTATGAACAATTCATCAATATACTTTCCAAAATTTTTCTTATCAATGTCCAAAGCAGCTATTGGTTAAAAAACTTGAAAACTTAAAGCATGATCTTGGATGTGTAGAAGCATTGATCTCTAAAACATTACAATAATGGTTAGTTGTGTGTTCTATATTTCATGTATTGTGTTATATTTGATAAATAAATCACAATTGCATGTGCATCAAATAGCTAACAAAAATGGAATTGAAGAAATATATAATGTTAAAGACTTTTAAGTTAAGATCATTTTCAAAACTTGAGTGGTGATTGCATGAGCTAAAATAGATATTATGTAAATTGTCAAGCTTTAGATGAGGATTTAAAATTGTGGGGAATGAGATGAGTTATGAAGGATTAATCTAAGAGAATTAAAGTTAAGTCATTTATCCAAATGATGAAATATGTTTCAACCCAAAAGATTTACTTATATGTTGATATCAGTCATTAGATATTTTTTTTTCATAAATATAGTTTGAATTATTTATAATTATAAACCTGAAAAATTTCCCAATCAATTTATAGGATTAATTTAGTCTTTTGGGCATGACCAAAAAACTGAACATAATGCAACACTTGCTATAAGCGATGAACAACATTATATGAGTGTCATGGAACTAGCCACTCCCAACATGCAATTGATCTTGATTGGCATGTCTTATGCATGAGCTAAAGGATTTAATCTTTAGATTCCTTCATCTTTCAAATGTAATCTTTAAGATCGGGCAAAAATGCCATTACTTGTGATAATAGGTCCTATCATCTTTTGTTGAAAAGTTGGTATTTCGAGTGATGAGAGTTAGAGTAGAAGGTTGTGTTATTATAGGTATCATACTTGTTAGTCATTTAAAACATGTTCATAGAACTCTTGATGTTACATTAATTATTCATAGGTAGGACCAAATTGTTATGTACTTGTACATTCACGGCAACATATGGGTTATCATCTTAGTAATGCACTAAAAATCCAACATAGTACATAGGATATGATTTCTTACATAGAACTCTCAAAACGAAAGACCGATTAGGTTTGACTTAAATGAAATAGTTGTATTATATCTTGAAAATTACAACGGTCTATCCTTCTTTGTTTTATTTAGAGAAGGTGATATGACAAAGCCTTAGCTTTTCTGAAGGGTCTAATGTGAATAAAATAGATAATATTGTACAATAATGCAAGGTAACTGTGTTTGTATCAGTCATTCGATGAAGAGAAGTGATGGACATGCATAGGCAAACATTAGTATAAATTAGCAATAGATGGCAAAAATTAACTAACATTGGCACTAGTCAACTACAATTGACAATGAATGTCAATTGCTTGTGAGAGTAGAGCCAGAAATTCTCATTGTCCTAAAATTCTCTCCTCCCTTCAATGTACAAATATATGACATATTTATATATATATATATAACACACACACACACACACACATATATATATATATATATAACGGTTGTTTCAATTATTTTATAGGAACCCCAAATAATCAAATAAATGTTCCATAAAGATCCTGATCAATCTTTTGATATTTTTTGAATATCATAGTATATCAATAATTTAATTAATTAGGAAATTATGGGGTTATTAAATATATTGCTTTGAAAAGCTTATTCAAATATAAGCATGTGGGAATCATAATTAATTTGATCCCTCTAATAGCCTTCTAAAGTTTTTTGAGCTTGATTTAAGCACATTTAGACTCACATCAAGATCATCTTGGTATTTTTGGTTCTTCAACTATAAAAACTTATTTCGATCATAAAGTTTTTGAATGTTGGATCATGGTGATCTTCGACCCAAATTAGAATTTTTTTTAAAATATTTTGAACTTTTAAGAATTGAAACCTGCTTCAAATGTATGTTTAATTAGGGGTAAGTATAGGAAGATCGTAGGTCTTTATAAAGAAAAATTATGGGAAAAATATATTTTTGAAAGGATATTATAATACTTTTCTTTTTTTTGTAAAATTGGAGAATAATTTACTTATAATAATCACATTCTAATAAAATTGAATATAAAATAATTAATCATCAAAAAATATCAAAAGGTAAAAATTAGTATTCAAATAAATAATATAGTATCTATTTGGAATTTAAAAGAAAGCCTCCCTAAGTGATTCTCAATGATTTTTTTTGGAAAATTTGCATACATACCACACAATTCCTTAAAATTTGCATTTATAACCCTTAAATTTTGATATTTACATTTATAACAATTTGGTATTATAAACTTATGAATTAAATGGTGCGCCTCACTTTTTAAAAGTTAAAATTGTTTGTATTTTTAATATGATATTAAAGGTCAGACTATTAGTATGTAAATATGAAAGTTTAAGTGTTTGATATGTGATATGTATATAAATACTTTTACTTTATTTTAATGGCATGCCACTTCTCATTGATATAGTTGACCAAGATTTGTCCTTAAATCACACCTAAGGAATAGAGGGTCAGATAGAAGAAAGAACAAGCGGTTGAGAGAGAATTGGGCAGTTTAGCAGTTAAGGCAAGAATGTACAAAGGGAGTGAGATCAAAAGGGCCTTTTTAGCTCGAGTGAACTGGAATTGTGGTCAGAATTAGGATCTTATATTTACATTTATTACCCCCCATTTATATGGGTTGGACTTCATAAAATAATATATTTAACACTATATCATTTCTAAACCTTTGACCATATAGAAATGTCTTCTTGTTAATTTCCCCACGGAAACTGAGGTCTTGGAAAGATCTTCTTCAGGTTGACTTCTTCGGTGAATGTGGAGGTTCTCTGCCTCCTGTGATCCTCGATCTTGACCTTTCATAGTTGTCCCATGAGCCTTTGATCTAGAGTCCCTTGGTTTCTTATACACGATTTTCTAATATTCCAAGTCAACCTATTTGTTGTTTGCCTTTGTACTCGCCTATATGACTGGCTTATACTAGGGGATGAGCCGAGTGCTTTCCAGCCCCATTTGATGATCCGAGTAACACTTTTGATTGTACACATTTAGTCTCTTGATTCTCTCATATCTCAAAAAATTATGATGTGAAAAAAACGAAGGAATTCAATGTAATTATTAATCATGACTTTTTGAGCTTGATTTAAGCACATTTAGACTCACACCTGTTCTCTCTCATATCCGACACTCTATTCTTTAGGTGTGATTTAAGGACACATCTTCATCAACAATATCAATGAGAAGTGGGTTGTGGCGTATTAAAAATCCTACGAAGGAATTAAAACTAGGTTGTGGCGAAGGCTTCCGGATTGTAGAGGATGAGGTTGTCGCCAGCGGGAGAGAGATGCTATAGTGATCTTCACTTCTAGGGGACTCCAGGTGTCGTAGTTCATGCCATTGTGGTTGCTTCTGCCATGGAGGTGGCTGACAAAGCAATCTGTTTGGACAACATGGAGCGTAAGTCGCTGCTCTAAAGGAGATGGCAATCTGCATAAGGATATGATGGATGTGAATATATCTCTAATGTCGTAGGACTAGGTCGACTCCACCAAGTTGACGCAGTTCAAGACCCGGGAGGGGTAATCTCTCCTTTGGAAAAATTATTGTGTCTAGATTCTGGACGCAGAACTACCTGTGTCTAGATTCTGGACGCAGAACTACCTATGTCTAGACAATGGACGCGATGCACCGATCGCCAGAAAGAAAAAAAAATCTCTCGCGATCAGTGTATTGCTAGCTGGAACCCGATTAAAAAAAAAAAAAACCCTTCCCCTCCTACCTTCCTCTATCGTGAACTGATCCTGTTATTTCGCGAAGAGTCACAACCCCCCGTCTCCTTTTAATTCGTGAAACAGAGAGGTCTTCTCTGGTTTACAACATTTTTTTCTTCCTTTGCTCGAGCAGCAGGATCCAGCGTCGAGGAAGAAGAAAAGTCTTACAAGATATCGCACGAATCTCCTTCAGATTTTGCAAGGCCCCCCCTTTTTGTGTTCTTCTTCGATAGTTCTGCTTCCATAAAATAGAGGAAGATAAGTGCAAGCAGCAGTTTCTTGTGGCAGAAGAAGAAGAAGAAGATTGTTCTCCCTTGACTTCATCTTGGTGGTTTGTCGCAGAAGAGAAATTGGATTTATTTCTCTTGTAAGTTTATCTTCTTCGGTGTATCTCGATGTAGAGAGAGAAGAAGAGAGAGCAAGGAAGTGAAAGATCCCTCTTGTAAGTCGAGATGATCGACTGGTGTAAATTTTTTAAGTAGTAAAATCCTATGCAACTCCGTGGACGTAGAAAATTTGTTAAAACAAGTAAATCTGTGTGTTCCACTGTGTTACCATTTTCTGGTGTGAATTTTCTTATTCTATTTTTTTGCTTCGTCAAAGATCGTTCTTCTATTTTATATATATATACCACAACAACTGCTATCAGAGCTGTGTTTTGAATCTGAGGAAAGATGATAGCTTCAGATGAAATGAATGTTTCAGAGATCGAGAAGTTTGATGGCACAAATTTTAGTTACTGGAGGATGCAGATAGAGTATTACCTCTATGGGAAGAAACTTCATCTTCTGTTATTGGGGAAAAGACATGAAAGGATGGATGAGGCTGAATGAAATTTATTGGATAAACAAATTCTGAGGGTTATTCGATTGAGCTTATCGAGGTCCGTTACACACAACGTCGTCAAGGAGAAGTCGACTGTGGATCTCG